CTCTCCAGAGCTACTGGAAGCCCAATCTCGCCATGCCAAGCAACAGCCTAGAACAACCTCAACCTATACAAGTGACCACGTAAGCCATGCTACTGATGCTAGATAGTTTTTCAGTGGATGCATAATAAACGGCAAAAAACAAATTAATGTAAATTAATAGCCAAATAACGGATCAACGCTCTCTGTCTAATATGTTCGCTAGCTGTTAGTGTTGTTGCATAGCAACCACCTCGCTCTATGTTTTGTGCAGAAGGCAATGGAGGGACTATTTTATTTTGAACATCATTATTTACTAATAAAAACTATTTAAATTAGAGTGTGTATTTTTCTTCCATATTGCCACACTTGGTAACCGTTTTATAAAAGCAATAGCTCACTTCAGGCTGTGGTAGGCTATATGGTCATTATATCACAGTTAAGGGGCGTGGTTCGGCCCGACGCGAAGCGGAGGGTCGACAACCCCCTAACCCTAACCCCTATTTCATGAGCTATTGCTTAAATCTATCTATCTATCCATCATATACCGTGATGAAAAAAATCCCAAATTTAGATCTAAAACACAAGATAAGTTAAGATATACTTTATTGAACCCAAATTGGATTTGTTTCCATGACAGCAGCATGTTAAAACAAAGTATTGAGTAGAAAATAAACAAACTTAAAAAAGAAACTGATCTAAAATGTAAAATATGAATATATCTTTTCTCTACCTTAAAACAATGTGTTGGATGAGAGACGACTCACTCAGCGATATGTGTCAGAGTCTATATCACTGCTGGGTTTTAACAGCCTCTTTCCTACAGGCTATAGGCGTGATGTCCTCATTAGTCAGAAGAGCCAAAAGATCTGGAGGCAGGGGGAATGTGCTGACCGTGGCAGAATTATCCCGCTACATCAGGAGGAGGATTTCTGAGGTCACCTGCCAGCGAAGACAAGCATGGACTGAACATCGTGTGGAGGGAAAGGTGGGGAAAGAGTCAATAAAAACAATAAAACTGAGATCCATTTTACAGACTGTAATAAAGGATGTGTAACGTTTGTATTATAGTCAAATTACCTTTGGTGTGAACATTGGAGGTTAGGTTTATGATCTAATGCTACTGGCAATGCTTCTGCAGGCCTCTCTTAAAATGAAGACTATATCTCCAATAAATAATATCCGATAAGATAAACCTGTATTGATCCCTGTAGGGAATTCAATTGTTGCCTCATACCATACATCCTCAAACCTAATACATCCCACCACTTCATAACTATCTGTAGAGTTCACTTTAACTTTGCCTTCTGGTTTTTGCAGACGTATTACTTTGAGGAGTTTGAAAGCTTATTAGATGAGCTTTTGTTCAGACTGAGCGCCCTCTCCAACAGTCTGCACCAAACTCTGCCCTCCAAAGCTCATCGCTACCGGGAGGACAGTCCTGCCCTCTCACACACACAGCGGATCAACATGCAGGCACAGGTGAGTCCGACTTCAAGGAATAGGACACATGCATACAGAGCAACACACACGTAAACATACTTTATCACAATGGTTTATTCTGTGACGCTGATGCCGTGTGATTCTATTACAGGACTTTGTAAGAACACAAGAAGAAACCCTACCTGCATCTCACCTGCTCAGGTAACACACATTTCTAAACACAATTTAAAAATCACCAATTGCAAAATGATGATAATTGACAAGTTTCTTTTTTGCCTGATTCTGCATCACCAGGTCCGAGCTTGAACTGGAGGACATGCCGTTTCTGCAGCAGAGAAACCAAAGGGGAGGCTGTCCCTTCTCTGACATTGTTGTGGGATTGGATAATTCACAACAACCAGGAACAAGAGCCGGAGAAAACCCAAAAGACCAAGAGCTCCAGACTTATTTAAAGACACAGAACTACCCGTCCCGCCCAGATGATGCATGTATCATCAGGGTTTGGACAGAAGATGTTCTGGAGAAGCAAAGTGAGCCATGGACAGAAATCAATGATACAACTCAGGCCCCACAGACTGAGATGGTGGTGGAGGTGCTGGTCCACGAGGAGCCTGGCAGGGTAGAGCCAGATCAATAAGTGATGGAGAAATCAAGATCTACAAGGTCTGTATTTTCTGTTATGTTAAGATTAACAACTGTATGTGACCAGCATGTTACTGCAAATACTGTTACCTGGATCACTAGTTTAAACAAAGAGATCCTTTACCTTAATGTTCGTGCAACCTGTCAATGCATGCAAATATTTAAGCATCACATTTTCCTATATCTGTTTTTAATAGCATTTTGACAAGCAAGTCATTGGTGTCTTACTATATATATATGAATTTAAGACCTATTTTTACTTGTTTTATTCAAATGTCACAAATAATAAACCAATACAGACATACATATATAAATAAAACAGGTTGCTTAAGAAAAATACATTCAATTCGTCAAATCATTTCTAGTTATATACAATATAGAGATATTTGGCACATCTCATTAATTTTAGGGACATTAAGTGGAGTTTTTATGGAAGTAGCATGTGAAAATAGTTGAGGGCTTTTTTTGTGCAAAAATGTGCTTCATTTGAGAGTATATACACTGAACAAAAATATAAACGCAACACTTTTGTTTTTGCTCCCATTTTTCATGAGATGAACTCAAAGATCTAAAACATTTTCTACATACACAAAATAACCATTTCTCTCAAATATTGTTCACAAATCTGAAAAGATCTGTGATAGTGAGCACTTCTCCTTTGCCGAGATAATCCATCCCACCTCACAGGTGTGGCATATCAAGATGCTGATTAGACAGCATGATTATTGCACAGGTGTGCCTTAGGCTGGCCACAATAAAAGGCCACTCTGAAACGTGCAGTTTTGCTTTATTGGGGGGGTCCGAAAACCAGTCAGTATCTGGTGTGAGGGTTAGGGTTAGGATTAGGGTTAGGATTAGGGTTAGGGTTAGGGTTAGGGTAATGTTGTGAATCGAGTGGCCCATGGTGGTGGTGGGGTTATGGTATGGGCAGGCGTATGTTATGGACGATGAACACAGGCCACTCGATTCACAACATTACCCTAACNACCCTCCTTTTTACGCAACGGTCCAGACATAGACATCAAACGGCGACACAAAGTGTCTAGATATCCCTGCCCTAATGCCAAAGGAACTGCACACTGAATATGTGTCGCCGTTTGATGTCTATGTCTGGACCGTTGCGTAAAAAGGAGGGTTTCTGCCCCGTTACTTCTCCGCTGTTTTCTTGTCCCACTTTGAAAAGCAAACTGCCTGCAACTGCTTGCAGTTTGCTTTTCAGCCCAACTGTATACAGTTAAATCGACCGGACTTCTTTCTGCAGATGTGAGCATCCTTAACAACGGTCAATAAGTCCTTGCTGTACATTATCCATTATATGTTTCCATCTTAAGCTTTGTTAGTTAGTTAGTTAGTTTCATAACGGACGTAATGTAACAGTTGTAACGGTTGTAGCTTTTCTCAGACGGGGAGGGATACTGACTTGTTGTGAAAAGTAACTACAATTCTACCCGTGATATACGCTCATTATATCACGGCTAAGAACCAATCAGATTGCTTGATTTGACTTATCCGTTTTATAGAGATAGATAGATAGATAGAATTTGGGATATATTTGCGTTGCAGCAGCATAAAAAACACAAGGCAGAGAAATTAATCCACAAATAAACAAAGTTGACTTTCTGACTTTCTGTCATACGTATACACTATGAAGGGCCGATCAAAGGCTAACCAAATATTAAAGTAGGATGTTTTTAACATGGAGTGTGCTAGAAATAGCATATTAAACTAAATATTATATACAGAGGAAAACACTTTTTATGTTATAAAGTATACCACTGCTGTCCGAAGCCCAGAGGACAGAAAGAGGAGTCCACGGTAAAGGAGATCCCTCTCAGAGCGGTGGAGGCCCCTGAGGGCCCGGAGACCCCAGCAGTGACGGAGCAGCGTCCGAAAGGAGCGGGGAAGTGAGCTGAAAGACGAGGAGCTTTGAACGAAGAGGAGGTTCCCCGCGCAGGACAGCGCCACCATCAGGATAACACAGGAAATCTAGGACAGGACATTATTGACCGCTTGCTTTCCTCACAACATTTCATAAAGAAATTGTCATTCAGGGTTTCTCATTATGTCTTCAAGTGCTTATGTGAAAATGTTCTCTTCTTTTCTCCGGTCTTGTTTTGCATTTAGTATTTGAATTGTTGTTGACAGATTGTTCTGCTCATGTGATCACAAGATGATGGTTGCAAAAATATTTATCTCGTACAGAAATATTGAAAATATTGAAAACTGGGGTCTATATCAGTGTGTGTGTGTGTATGTATGTGTGTGTGTGTGCGTGCGTGCGTGCGTGCGTGCGTCTGTCTGTCTGTCTGTCTGTCTGTCTGTCTGTCTGT